AATCGAATGAGTCAGAACTGCATAAAGTAGACATCTACAGATTTCCCTGTAGATAGTGCCTATTAACAAAGTACTGAAGAATAGTATTTAAGCATTGGCCACAGGTATGGCTTTCGAATTTATGCTTTCAAATTTTTTGACCACGATCTACTGTAGAAAATACATTTTGTATCACCAAGTGCATACAAATGTGTATCATATAAGTGTATATCAAGTACTCACCCAACCAAGATTAAAATGGAAACAACAGTTTAACACAATAGCACTAATAATTACTCTAAATGCCCTTTGATTTTTTTCCTATTTTACTTTTTTAAAATGCTAATCTTTATCCACTGAATTGATTCCATCTCGCATGCCATATCACACAGATTGAACACTGGGCTACAAAACTATTCAGTGAGACTGCTTGGGTCACCTACAAGACAGAAAGTTCCTCTCAACAATGTGGTTCAATAATTCTGAGTCTCCCCAAACTATGTAGCTTAAAAAAAAAAACCTCTAAATCAAACTGTTCTGTTTCCAGTTTATTGCTTCCATTCTTATTCAAGCTTATTGAGCTTTTTTCACTCTTGACTCTATTTCTAGTATTATCTGTCCTTACCTACACCGTATCATCTGGAAAACATTTTATTCCTTTACCTGAGTAATTGATGAAAATATTACCCTGTATAGGACCAAGAACAAAAGAGTGAAGCATATTTTAAATAGTTGTTCACAAACCTATTTATGTACACTTAAATCCTTTCCCAAGAATCAATTACAAAATCCTCTAATTATACTAACAACTCTTCTACTGTATTTTTATCCACAAGGTTGAGAATTTGTACTCAATGTATTAAGATTCATGCCTATGACACAGGGTGGTTGGTTCTGAGGATTAAATGAGATGATATATGCTGAGTGCTTCAGATAGTGCCTGACACATGGAAACTGCTCAATAATTATTAGCCAGGATGACACTGATGGTGACAATGATGGTTTAAGGTTATAGTGCCCTAGTTTAGTGATCCAGGAACTATACTGCTTCAGTGTTATTTGGTCTTGACATGCCTTATTCAAGTGAACCCGTACATACTACCTCCTAAGTCACTTTTTTTTCTTTTATATCTACTTCTTTTGAGTATTTCAAGATTTTAACATCAAGTTTGCTGCTCTTTTATTTATTTATTTATTTATTAGCCCAGGGCTCTCTTCAATCTCACGGGGCTTGTAATGGTGTTTCCTCAGTGTCACCTGCAAGTGGCTTTGTGCCTGGGATGTAATTCAGTGAGCTAACTTTGAGGAGCTATATATACAGTCTTCAATTTTTTGTTTTTTCGGTGGATTCTGTTTCTCTCCTAAAAATGTTTTCAGCTTGGCGAATACTCCTTTTGAAGAATAAAGAAACAAACTGAGATCCAAGTAGCCTGGTCCTTTAGCTACCTGTTAACACTGTGCTATCTTCATGAATTGTTCACTTTAAAAGCCTCAGTTCATTTGGGGGTTTGGAATCCTTGGCATATTCAGGTGGTAGTTTAGTTTCTGGAGCCAGTCTGATGGCTCTAAACCCCACCCCTGCCACTTACTAGCTGGGTGATATTAAGCAAGTGCTTTGTGCTTCCATGTCCTCATTTGTAAAAGGAATAATGTCTCTCTCCTGGGGTCCTGTTAAGATTAAATGAGTTACAAAGAGCTTAGAACACAGGCCAACACGAAGTAAGCCCTGGATGCATGTTAGCTATTGTTGTGATCATTATTTTGAACCCTCTGGAGGCAGATCTTTTCCTTTCTCTTTGGAGTTACTGTACAGGGAGAAACTTTACAAAGGTTCCTAAATTTCTGGAGTCTCTTCCCGCAAGATGATGCTTTCTCTGAACTTGATTGCTGCTTTCACAAAGGCTGGGATTCAGGTCTGACTACACTCAATGTTTATTCTGCTCCCTGGTACACATGCCAAGGTAACGACACTTTCTCTCCCGATTTCTCATAACTTCCCTGTTGGTGAGCATTTCCTCCTTACCAGTCCAGTGCCAGCCCTCCTTGCGGGCTGATCAGTCAGCCAGGCAAGCCAAAGATGTGTCAGATGGACTCCATACAGCAGGGTAGACTTCTAGCAGATGTTAGAAAATTAAGGTCCCTGTGGCCCTGTAACTCGCCCCTCTGCCAGCGCCGCCACACTTCCCGATGGTAATAATGGGCCTGATGCTGAGAATGAGAGTAGTTCCATCTGGAAGCAAAAACGCTTGCCAAAGACCCAGGGGAATTGTTTCACGCCATCAGGACTGTGCTTTGTGGTTGCCAATAGGAAGACAGCAAGTCAACACCAACGTGCCAGACACTTTCAGGCTTTGGAGATAGAATGCCAGAGAAAACAGCCTTACCCTCAAGGAGTTTCCAGTCTACAAGGCCTCTAAAATTGATCTCCTCTCCTCACTGTTTTCAATTTAAAATGAACTAATGTGTCCCTCACATAGGCATGCCAGATAGGCACCTCTTTCTTCATGCATTGCTAAGTTCCTAAAGCAGGTGTTCATCCACCTGCCTCCCAGGGAGTCCCTGACAGTGGTATGAGTCCGGCTCCCACTGAAATTCCACAGTGACTTTAACATCCCCTTCACCTCCACACACAGATTGAGGAGGGTCAGCTTGTTAAAGTAATAAAGAAATTGACATGAAATTCAGAATAAGGGCAACCTTAAAAGAAATAATGCCTGTATAATGATTGAGGAATGATATCTGGAATTGGAACTGCAGAATCTAAAAGCTGGTCTCTCCCATAAAACACAAGAGGAAAGATGGAACAAAGAGAATGTGTTAGCTTTGGGTAAGTTTCATTCAGTAAAGAGAAATGAATGATAACAATAAAAGTAATTGCATGAAAAGCCTGTACTGTTTTTTAATAAAAATGGTTTTTAATTTCTCTGCCTGATGTTTATTTAACCTGGTTTTCCTTTCAGTTAAAACAATACTTTCATTTTTTGTGAACCAGCAAAACAGATTCATTTAGAAATACAAAGTTCAAATCAGGGGAAAAGTGTCTTATTCTCCCTCCACCTCTCACCCATTCTCTATTTTAAATACTTCTTAAAATAGATGGTTCCCTTTTTTTCTGAAATGCAAACACAAAACCGTGTTTTGATCAAGGCTACATTTCTTGACATCCTGGACTTCTTCCTCATGGGTCTTACAGTGATTAGTTTCAGTGAAAAGTTTTTTTTTTAAGGTCTGTAATTGGTTGAAAAATAAGAACAGCAAAAGTCTTAAGTAAACGTGTCAAATACAATGTACTTCACATGAGACACAACATGGCCTGGCTTGTTTTAAGTAAGCTTCACCTGTGCTTCAGATCGGGGTGCAGCGGCTTCGCGGTGTGGGCCATCCTGTGTGCACAGCGGGTGGGGGTGCAAAGGGCAGTGGCCGAGCCCTGCTTTAGGAAAAGGCACCAAATTACTTCAGGATTTAAGAGACAAAGGACAATGGATCCAGTCAGAGCTGGGCCACGAAGGAAAGGACAATTCAGATTCACACACAGCCTGTCTCTATTTGTAAGCTATCCTACCACAAGCCCAAACCAAACCCATTTATCCAGACCCAGTTCCTGAACCATGGACAGAAGCGATCAGTTTTTCTTTGGAATCTGAAGGTGCCAAAAACACTAGTCCCTCACCCTGTCTTAGCAGAGAAAGGATTTTTTGCCAGTGTAGCAATAATTTGAGACTGCATATTGGGATCTGGGTGTATACTTTCTCCTTTCTGTAAGAAAAATCTATAATCAAAGTGTATGATCCTGGCCATGCAGACAGAGAACACGACTGAGAACCATCTGCTGTTTCAAACAACTGAGATCGGGGGATTGTTTATGACTGACACACCACTTGGGGGAAAAAAGTTGTCCTGGAGATTTGTACTTAACAGTCTGGACCCTTTACAAGCGCCTGTCAAGAGGTGATAAATTACTGAAGCATAACATCAAGTGTTGTGTTTTTGCCATGTACACAGTAAAACCTTGTGAAATGTTTCTGCTCACCTTCCCTGAGTTATTAATTAAAATATAATTGCTTTTAATTACTCCATCTTTAAAACAAAACAAGATGAAATGCCAAATCTACTTTTCCAGGACCAGCACCACCTCTTTCCTCCCTCCTTCCCTATCCTGTCCCTACATCCTTCAACCCAGCAATTGTTTAAAATTACACCACTGGCTCCTGGACCAGGAATGCTGTTTAGATCGGGGAGAGAGGGAGAAAGGCGGCCAACACAACATTCACATAATTGTCTGGTGCTCATTCAGCCACAGTGCCCAGATGTATTTGTTGTTCCTAGAGACAGCGTAAACTGCTGAGAATAAAACAGGGTTGTGGAAATCTCATTAATAAACTGTGAAAACCCTCTCAGCAGGAGTCACATACAGAGGGGCCACCTTTGCCAAACCCTGTGAAGGCTCTGTGCTCAGCTCCTGCAGGTCACTCACACACAGCTTGGATTTGAGAAGGTTCCTGAAAGCCCCTCCTCCCTAAGCAGGAGGGAGGCAGAATTCTCCCCCCATCATGGTTTACCAATAGGGACCTGAGTAAGTTTACAAACTCTAGGCTTTGCTTTAATGTAAATGACTGGCAGACAGGAGGACGGGAATGGCTCCTCCCCGTATTCATAAAATGAGAGGATGACACTGATGCCAACACGCCCGAGGGAGGAGGAAAATCCAGCAACTCTGACTGCGCAGGAGGGGATGCAGGGAGGCTACAGACGGGCTTGGCGGAATGGAGCATTTCCATACTGGCGCACCGGCACACCACAGTCTCCCCCCAGTGTGAGTGGACTCCCACTCCTTTTGTGGCAGTGTCACTGTGTAGATCCCTGATGCCATTTTCCATGTAGGTGACTGAATCAGAGGCTGAAGTTCTGGCCTCACGGGCCTTGTCAGCCGCAGAATGAAACTGGGTGCCCTCGTGAACATTTTCCCTCAAGTACTCTGTATGGCAAGCAGAAGGGGGGATAAAGAAAACACCTCCAAAATGTTTCAATCATATGCATCATTTAGTCAGTTGAGTAAGTAAAACAATCAAATCAAATAACACTGCTTGACACTTCAGTTGAAAATTGTGTAGGGAGAAAGATTGGTTTTGCATTCTGCACTCTGACACAGAGGCAAAAAATGGCTGAAACTTAAATATCAAAGGACTCTTTACAATTAAATCCACAATTTTATACATTTATCTTTCTTACATGTCAGTGAAAAATTACCAACTATTATGAAATAGGACAATTTACATCACAAAAGAACCAAACAATCTCATAAAAAAATATATCTAGTATTGAAAAGCACTGCCTTCTTGGGTGTCTTCACATCCTTCTCTTCTGTGTACTTATGTACAACACTGAAAAGAAAAAAATAAATGGAAAAAACTTAAGTATCATAAAAGCAAGTTTTAAAAGAAAACAGATTTTGGCCTACCAACTCTGTAAATTTAAAAGGAATTTTCATACCACACATTAAAGTCTAGAGCTACCATAAGACTAATGTTATAAACCTAGACTTGGGTTTGATGTCTTACACGAGGACTGTGTTCCAGCCTTAGCTCTGACTGACTTTGTAAATTGTGACCAGGAGAATAAAATAAAATGTATGTAAATGTCCCTGGAATCCAAGAATGTTTTGTAATTATAGGTATAATAATTGTACTTATAGTAAAGTAAATTAGTAAATCTACTAGACTTCAGGTTAAGAATAAAGAACGTATTTTCATTCATCACCCTAATATAAACTCTTAACCAAACAATATGCTTTTTTAATTGCAACAGGATAAACAAGAGCTGAGGAGTTCATGTTTTTTAAAGATACCAAACTCTTTATTGTGAGTTCCTGGTTCAAGTGCCAACCTTTGGTGGGGTCCATGGTTAGCTATGGTCTTCCCATGAGGACCCGTGTGCACCGCCCAAACTGAACTCTCTGAGTATGTGCGGTATACAAGAACAAGACGGAGTGCGATGGCTGGGCCACCTAGGCCCAGCTTCCACCAGAGGGGCATCCCTATGCCACCTCACCCCCCTGTGCCTACTCAGATTCTGAAAGGCTGGTTCAAAGTGACCATGAAGATAGAACTTGAAAAAAGCACAGGCTAATTAAGTATGTCAGGATCCTCTTCAAAGGCCATGATGGTGAATCTGGGAGTCTAAAGGTAACTACCACTAGTTATGTCATGGAAAAGCTACATGAAGGGAACTACCCGAATGACAGGCTGACACCCCAGGGAAACGGGACAGGTCCCAGATGTAGTAATCACACGACAGGGTCCACCCTATTACCACCACCCACAGACTCTGCAGCTGACTGCCGCTATCTGCTGTCTTGAGATGGGGGAAGGTTGTAACATTTCCTCGTAAATGGAGGGCGTCAGGAAGAATAGTATGAAAAATAGAGAAGAAATTCTTCTTGCTGGAAGGCCTAGAAAGCAAGCCAAAGATGTATATAAAGATATGTGAAGCAATATGGTACTGTAAGAACAGGATACAGAATAGCTACAATAAAAGTCAGGATGTTTAGTTCATTGCAAAGAAGAGATCCACTGTTAAAAGGGTTTAAGAAGTTATGCAGAACTAAAGCAATGCACAGCAATAAAAAATATCAGAGCTCAGAGTCCCAGAGCTCCATTTGGAGGATGGGATCAAAAGTGGACAGGTCAAGGGAGTATTCCCCTAGTTTTGATGTCTTTCCCTTTCCCCTGAAAAATTCAGGTATTTATTGATGTGTTTTTAAATGAGGTACTTAAAAGTAACCACAATAATCACAGCAATGTATCAGCTATTACAAAGCTGAGTAACTTTAGAACTTCTTCCTATCTTGTCATTTTCACCAAACTAAAGGACAACATTTCCACCAAAAGCATTTGAATGCTTCACAGAGAAGGACGAACTGGAAAAGCAACTGCCAAATAACACAAACCAAAGACAGTGGGAAACAGTGGCCATTCTTACAGCCCCAACCTCCAGTGTGAGACGCAGTGTTAAGGGGATATAATAAATTGTATTAAAGAGAAGAGAGTTCTGGGTCAGTATACCAGTGCCCCTCAGTTCCTCATTTAGTACAAAGAGGGAAGGAGAGAATTTCTAATTTCAAAATTCCATGAAGCATCTAAAAAAGAACTGGTCACAATGAAGACCCAAGAATGTTAAGATAAAGAAAGCAAAACTACAACTGAACTTTAAAATTACCTAGAAAACCTGCTGGTGACCCTAATTATAAACAAACAACTTGTTTTAGATGTTGTAAAACTGTAGAGTGAAGGAATATTACCATTGTTTCCTCGGATAAATGCATCCCCGTACTTATTCTTCAGTTGCCCATTTACGTATTCCTCTGTCTGTTCCAAGGCTATATTCATGTAGCCATCCAGGCAAGCCAGGACCCCTAGAGACAGTTAGTCAAAGAGAAGATACACGAAGCACATAAGAGTCGGAAATTACCGAGTATACCTTAAAGCTGACAATCTCTTTATTCAGTAGCTCTTACATGCTTAATATAAAAATTCACACTGCAAATGAAAATCAATAGACTGAAGCTCTATTAAGAAAATGTCTGTACTCTATGCCAATCTGAATGACGGCTAACAAACATACAGCAGAAAAGCAGCTGTGCACCCAGTGCTGTCAGGAAAAACAACAATCACGTCCTTCATGGTATGTATGATGAACAGCAACTTTTACAGCCTTTACAAAAGCAAAGTACCAAGCATATTCAAAATAAAACACTGTTCTTAAAAGCTATTAACAGGAGTGGGCAATTATGCAGGCACAGATGACCATCAGCCAGGACTCCTCACTTTGTGTGGCATTTCTTACTTTAGCTACTAAGTGAAATATGGGTTTGGCAGATTTATTTCATTCTTTCACAACATCTACTGCAGCAGATGAATGTACTTTAGGGTTAAGAGGAAGTCTCCACAATTCGTTAAAATAGCAGAAGAGGAGACAGCAGGTGCTCCTGAAAGAACATCTTAAAACTATGATCCACAGTGAAGAGCAGCTTGAGAATACAGGGCAACATACTGCATTGTAACACATCCCTTTCTGTTTTGTTACAGTTAGAATATTTTCAAATCCAAACTAATATAGAAAAATAGCCAAAAACATTTGAGGGAGCTTTCAAGGACACAGAAAATCTTTTTAATTGTGTTAGGATGGTATAAATTTTGTCAAATTTGACCTGAGTTTTTTTCAAAAGATGAAAATACTTACGAGCCTCTGAATCTCTAACTTAAGTGTTATTTTCAAGAAAAAAAAAATCAAGTGAAAATACTAAAAATTTGATTTAATTAACCAATTCGATAGCTTCATTTATTCTTAACTTTGTTAATATGCTCCTCACTCTCTCTCTCTGCCCCCATTATCCTCTAAACAAAAAAGTTTCTTTTCAAAATTGTGTGTGTGTAATGAAAGCACAAGACATTAATCTCATGGAATTGTGCTAGAAGCTGTAAACTTTCAAAGAATCAGAATGGACTGTGAACAATTCACAACTGTTTCCTATCAAAATAAAAGTTTAAGATACAACTCCACAGTTTATTTTCTGCTGTATTATTTTATGTCTAAACAATAATCATATGTAAGCAAGAAGCTTGAGAAGTGATATGCAAATCTTTGAAAACTGTCAAAATGAAATGTTCACTTCTTATAAAAACAACTTTTCTTATAATAAAGGTTTCCTTAAGAAAAGGGTTGTCATTAAAACCCCCTCCTTTCTGTAAGGGATAAGCTACTCTGAGTTAACAGCAAACATAGAGTTTTCTTCAAACTTAAGGAGCAACTGCTATAGAGAGCTGGGTTTTTTGTTTGCTTAATTTTTTGTTAAACCACAAAATAAGAGCGTTCTTTGTAGTAATGGTCTCAAGAGTGTGCAACATTTTGCTTTAAGAAGTACAGAGGCTATGAATAGACATTCATAAAAGGGAAAAAATTATGGTTACTACCCATGTGAAAGGTTATCCAACCTCTAATAAACAAAGAAATATAAATAGAATGAAATATGATTTGTGGCCAACTAGAATGGAAAAGGTGGAAACAAAGGCCAACACCAGGGTTGGCAAGCGCTGGAGAAGAGCGAACCCATCCACCGTGGGGAGGGCCGTGCGGCATGCTCTCTGAGATCCTAGCTCAGGGAATGTACGCTCAAGAGATGCCTGGACAAGTGCTCAAGACAGATGCTGAAGGAACAGAGTTACTTATAATAGCAAAAAATTGGTATTCACATGAATGTCCATTAATAGGAAACTGGATAAAAAAAAAAATGCCTGTGGTACACCCACATGGTGTATATGCCTATGCAGCCATTAAACACTATATTGTCAGAGAACTGAATGCATCTTTTAAATATTTTGTATACGTGTGTGTGTGTGTGCACGCGTGCATATATATATATATAAATCAGGGTGCATGTACAGCTGATCCCATTTATGTAAATTATGCTTATATGGAGACAGGTCCAAATTGGTAAAGCTGATTATTTCTGAATGGTAGAATTCGGGGAATTTTGCTTTCTTCTATATACTTTTCTCCATTATTTGCTTTGAAATTTCTAAAAAGGAAAAGAAAAAACATACATATTACCTTTATAAGTAGAAAAACTTTCCCTAAAGAGCAACAGGCTCAGGCTGGTTGATTTTCTCGATGAAGTGGGTACTGAGAAAATACTGAATCAAGTCCCATCCTAATCCAGTGCTGAACATACAGAGATCTCTAGAAGTCTGTCACCTCCTTTGGGCTCATTAAAAGTACACAGATGAGGAGCAGTACATAGAGACTTTATAATATCTCAGCATTCAGTATAAATCCATTAGTTCAACTATAAAAGTTAAATTAAACTGGAGATTTGTTGTTAATGTCAGGAAACTAAAGCAGTGCATAAACAGCAGAGGCTTCCGAGTCCAGCTTGAGTCCAATCTCTCCTTACTAAGTGGGAATAATCAACAGAGATCTCAAGGAATTTATGTGAAGATAAAATGAAAATCAAAGCGATTAACACACTTTGGACACACAGTAAGCTCTCAATAAAATGCAATTTGCATGGGTGGAAAAGACAAAACTCAAAGATTACCATTATTATCCAGAAAAGAGACCAAGGAAAGGCCATAAAACTCTGCTAATGAATTAGTTATCTGCACCTGGGAAATGTTCCAGGTAATTTAACATATTTTAATCTTGGAAAATTAGGAATCCAGTAACTTAACTATATTAAACACTATATTGTCAGAGAACTGAATGCATCTTTTAAATATTTTGTATACGTGTGTGTGTGTGTGCACGCGTGCATATATATATATATAAATCAGGGTGCATGTACAGCTGATCCCATTTATGTAAATTATGCTTATATGGAGACAGGTCCAAATTGGTAAAGGGATTTGACACCATTCCTCCCACAGTGTTTATTTCAGTAGTGTCCCAGCCTCTTAAAAAGCATTCTCTATAAGAACAGAGAGCTGGGTGGGGTTTTTTGTTTTGTTTTGCTGACTTAACTACAAAGTGAGAGCATTCTGTATAGCGGTGTTGTCAACAGTGTGCACTGCATTGCTTTAAGTACAGAGGTGTCGCTGGCTACCCCACACACTGTCTGAGGGAGAAGTTCACGTTGTAAAACAACACTCTCTGAACACCTGCTTGCCAATTTTGAATACTTCTGCAAAAACAAATGCTGCTTCACCATGGTGTTCTTCAGCACCCAGTTATTCATGCGTCGGGTGACAGGAAGCCCTGGCTTTTACTAGGGGGCTTCGGCGCACTCAGTCTCAGAGCAGACAGGAGGCGGGAGTCACACAAATCACACAAAGTCAGAAGCGCGCACTCTGCTGGCAGAGTTGTGTCTCTAAAAGAACCAGCTCGAGGCAGGAAAAGAAATGGACGCACAAACTGCTGACAACCAATGCCTTTGTGGTCCGCTGGGTACGTTTAAGAGATAAATAAAAATCAGTAAGTCACATTTACTTATTTAGTCAGACCACTGAGGATGAGGCATGAAAACAATACCTCGATAATCCACTCCAGAATTTAATTTTACCACCACCGGCCGTCCAATGATTTGCTTTAAGAAGTCACTGGGGGTTTGCTTCCGCAGACTCATGGCAACAATCCTGATCAGAAATCTGAAAGGAACAATAAAGGTAAAGACTGAAGTTAATTATTCAACGAAGAGCCTTGAAGCCCCTAACATTTTTATAGGAAATCAGGTATCAAAGGACCACACATGAAGACTCCACATTATTCCACTGCTACCACAATATGACAGCTAACATGCTTTCAGTACTGCCTATGAGCCAGATACTAAGCTACGTGTCTTCCACGCACTATCTCATCCAGTCCCCACAACCCCAGGACTCCTCAAAGAGGAAACCCTGCGTGCATGGAGCCCCTGGTCTCAATCACTTGCCACTGCTATCTCAGTCAGCATACCATTCAACCCCTACTACCTCCACCATTTACTGAAAGCTTATTATGTGCTGAGCATACTCCTAAGAACCTTATAAACATCATCAAATTTAATCTTTGTAAGATCTCTGGGACAGTTTTAATATCCTCATTTTGCTAGTGAAAATAAGGACACAGAAAGATCAAATAATTTGCCCCCAACTGTTACAGAACCAACATTCAAGCGCCAGTCATATTTTGAAGTCGATGTTATATAATGGAAACATATTTGCAAAAAACTGATGCCAAAACAGTATCCCAATAATAATAATACTCATAATTGAGCACTAATATTTAGGTGTACTACATGACAGCATTTATATAAGCACTTTCCATGTATTAATCCATTTAAACCTCACCACCCTATCAGGTAGGCATTGTTTTTAATTCTCATTTTAAAGATGAAGAAACAGACACAGAAAGGGTTAAACATCCTGCTCCAGGTGACAAAGCCAGCCAGCCCAAGCTCTTAGTCACAACCTTACACAGATTCCTTAAACTAGCTAATATACAGACTCTTTAAACTTGCTAACACAGCCAAAGACTTTGATTTACTCTACTATAATTACAGCAGATACATACTCTATATGATAGAGAAAAAGTCTTAAAATTCAAGTTTAATAAGGGTCTGAAACACAGAGTACTACACACTCCTATCAACAGACCAGACACAGTTGCCCATTACTCCCTTCAAAACTCATCTTAAGTTCTCTCTCTCTCTCTCTCTCTTTAAAAATATACTGGTAAAAACTCATCTTAAGTTCTCTCTCTCTCTCTCTCTCTTTAAAAATATACTGGTAAAATGATTGTAACAAACTACTTACATAAGCAAAAACTGAGAATAAAAAGACTTTAGAAATTAATTTTTTGGTTTCTCAGCATCACTATTATTAATAGCCATTAGCACTGACATTTAAAAATTAGTATGGATACAGTATTTTAAGAACTCTTCTCAAGAACTCAATTGTTTGTTTTCAAACAAAATTTCCATTAAACTTTCTTCTATAAATAGCACTGCTTATTTCACACCAAGTCCACCCACTCATAGATCTGATTCAGGGTTAGGAACACTGGAGATTTTCTAGAAGTGAATCTGTGCAGGCTCCGAAGTTAGGGCAAGCCAGTATGGGAGGCTTTTTATTTGTTCAACAAATATGTGTACGTTCAAATATACACATATTTGCAAGGAAATTTAAAAACATATCCTACGCACAAGCTCTGACCTTAAAGAACTTAGACTCTAGAATAATTTAAACTCTTGTTTAAAGGGCATGAGTAAACAGGTGATCGCAATGTAAGTAAAATAATTTTCTTGACTCAAGAAAAGCCAACAACCCAAGTTAAATAAAAGTAAATACCAATTTCAAAAACCCCTCTTGAATTCTGGGCTGTTATATGGACCACCCCCACCCACTATATCTCCCCAAGACTTGGAAGATTTTTAATGTGATCAACTGCTTATTTTGCTCAGCAAATTTTAATTTAAATTTTCCACTGAATTGCCAGTTTAGTTTTTTAGCTATAGTCTCAACAGACAAGTGAAATTACAACTACTGCTCAGGACAACCGCCATCTGGTCAGCACTCAGATTGTACATACAACAATTTCATTTACGCTGTTTTGAGCACAAGAAAAAAAATTACAAAGTAATGGCTGTAATAGATTTAGTAACTTTAATGAGTTTAGTAAAAGCAAACAAATTTTCTCATTCGTCTATAAAATGCTTTATTTATGTCCAGAACACGAGCTGTTTTGTGGGTGAACAGGTCTAGAGAACTGTTAACTCTGAAGGCCTGATAGACTCAACTCATGAGTCTTTGGTTCATTTCCTACCAGGTGTTAAATAAATCCCATTATGCCAGTTTCTTCATGTGTAAGACTGAGATAAAAAACTAGCTCTTTATTTTTGTGTTTAAAAAAATCACTGAATTTTGTGAAAACCCAGTTTACAGGTGTGGATAAAATGAAGGTTCCTGTGGCCAGGATTCTCACCTGGCCCTGGTTGGCTAGCTCACTACACACATGTGGGCAATGCGTCGTTATTGACTATATAAAGAGCTCCACCCAGTGCTCTGGGTGACACGGTGGCATGGCTGCAAGAGGGCAGAGCAGAGGCTGGAGTGGTGGCAGTGCCGAGGACAGAGGCCCAGAGGAGGGCTGTGCAGGCAGAGGGGCCCAGAAGCAGAGACGGGCTTGCTGCATACAGACTCGCTCTGAGTGGACGGGATTTTAGTGACTGACCTGCCACTGTGGGAATACAGCTGGGTATAACCCTTTCATCCCAAGAACGTTCTACTGTCATCTCTTTGGTCACACTGAATCCATAGTGAACTCGCATGGGGCTGAAACCCATGGGCAAGACACAGGGATATTATTAACCATTTTGTCCACAGAGACAAGTCAATGACAGAAAAGAATACAAACCTAGACTATTAGTTGTTTAGCTGATGTATTATTTTTAAAATGTTATTAATATTATCTTTCCTCACCTTTCTGAAAAAGACAGATATATTCTTCTAAGCTCAACAGATATCACACCTCTCCCATTAAGCCTCATCTTTACTCCAATTAACCCTCATCTCTTCCTGAAGGAATTCAACACTTCAAACTTTCATGCATCACTTAGTGTCAGGCACATACATAGGTTGGGGGTGTAACACCAGTAAGACAGGGCTTTGGGCCCTCACAGTTTACACTCCAAGCAGGCAGAAAACATGTAAATGGAGAATTTTTTTAGAAGTTGTTTGTATTTGGATAGCATCATGCAGAGAAAAGCACAAAGAGAAGACTCAATTAGCTCAGGCTTGGCAGATCAAAGAAGGCTTTTGGAGGTGATACCTGATCTGAATGTGAAGAAGGTGTCCACCAGCTGAAAGGAGTGAAATCTTAGCAAAGGCACCAGGCAGTGTTTGGGTTTGAGGAGAAAATGCTACACAGGCAAGGAGGTCAAGATGCAGCCACGGAAGGGAGGCGGCCACATTCATGGGAAGTGTGGCAAGTCAAGCTAACAGAGCGTGGGCTTGCGTCTCTAGACGAGTTCCCAGACATGGATCTTTTGGATCCTTTGGGAGACTCTAATTCAGTGGTTCTGGAGGAGAATCCAGGTATCTGTTTGCATACAACCAGGAAATTCTTAGGAACTAGCAGGTACAGGAAGGACTGTGCCAGAAATGGGGAACGGGAGGGTTTTAAGCAGAGACTTGCACGAGTGCCACTTTCCACTTCAGATGGCACGGTGGAGATGGGCCATCTCACTCAGTTCTGGCATCAGGTTTCACATCTGCTTCTATCAGATATAACCTGTCACTATTTGCTCTTTTATAATATTCTGTACAAGTCTTTATACAAGTCTTTTTTCTCTCAAAAGACTGTAAGCCACATGAAAGGAGAGACTAATACCCAGCTTTTCATTTATTCTCTAGAACATACATTCTGCTAAATCTCTTGAAAAAGAAATGTTCCCAGTTATTTGGAAAGAGGATGGTTGCTTCCACCACACTTTACCCATCACTGTAGGAGACCGTATCTTTGACATTCACCTTCACTAGGCTTCCTTGGTACCCACTGTTACTTAATGACTTACCCACACATCCAGTTTCTATGAAGGAACTGGTCAAACCATCACAATTTTTACCATTGCTTGGCTCACACAATTTTAAGTGTTCATCTTTTAAACTGAGTAAGGCAGAAAGAATAGTTCTGACCATTTCTGAGGCAAGAGAAAAGCTCCTGAACCATAAACATATTAAGAGGGAAAAAGGCCTCCTTTCTGCTGGGTCACCTTGATAAAACTCCTCTCTTCAAAATTAAATCCATAATCACCACCCATGCCTCCTCTCCCTCCCCTGACTCCTACACAGGCTTGTTTTAAATAACTTATTTTCATAAATGGTCATTAAGTCAGAGGCAGTATATTTTCTCTCAGAAGCTAGTCAGAGGTCTGGTATGAGAACATCCACAAACTGCCCTACAGAGATGTTTTTTTTTTTTTAGTAAAAGAATGAGTGGAAAGGAACCAAATTTTATTCACCCAGCTATGTGCCAGGCCCTGTTAGATTCATGAGCAATTCACATGGTACCCCTGTGAGGTGGTAAGCAAAACAAAGGCTTGATCCCAAAGCCCAAGCCCTTTCAAAGGTCCAGCTGCCCTTTGGGATACGTCAAGATTCTCCTGTTAAACCTGGGAATGGCCATAGAGACAATCAGAGATGGAGCTGGGGAGTAGCAGTGGGCGAATATACCCAAGTAACAAAGTACTATAGATCAGCCTGCACTGAAGTATGATGGTCAAAGGAAAGAAATGCATTTTACGTGATTTTGATTAATGTCATTGAGCAGAAAACAGGAAAATCCTTGTTCTTTGGCAGTTTACCTGTCGGCTTTCACCTACTCTCAGAGTATTTACAGTTCAGGGTAAAAAAAATTTGACAAGCAAGAGATTGCCATGAAACGTAACACTACAACCCAGTAAATGCAGCTGTAGACAATAACTTCAGTGTCTGAGAGGGCACCAAACCCGGAGGACAGCTCCCTGAAGATCTTTCTTCCCAGATGTGGTCAGCCCTCTTCAGAAGGCATTAGTTACACCAACCCCACCCCCTGCGGCAGGGGTTCCCTTTCCCTCCTCTCTCCCAAGGGCCACCCGAATCTGTGCCCTCTGAGCAGCCCTCTCCTCTCTCAGGCATGGCCCTTCTCGGGCTATTTTGCAGCTTTCCTGTTTCCTGACCAGCCTCTCACAGTAGGTTCTAAGCTTCTCGAGGACGGGGAAAAACGTCTTGCTCATTTGGTATCCCTCGTACCTAAAGACACCGCCAAGCCTGTGGAGGAGGCATTTAAGGGCTGTGCCAAGGAAAACTTTTGCCCCTTCCTCTTCGACCGCAAACTATGGGTACAGTGGCTAGTATAGTATCACCTATGCACTTACACAGCTGTAGCACAGTAATATTTCTACTACTGACCACGACACGAAAGAGGGAGAAAAGAGAAATGTTTTCGTTGTCCAAGAATCAGCTGCATCCCCAACAACAGACATGCTTGTTATGATACAGATTCCTGTCAGACTCTCCAGACACTGTAATTTATATATTAAAGTCCTCCAAACAACTCCTATAAACAAGTGGTTCTTCAGCAGGGGTGATTTGCCCCCCACCCTGGGAACATCTGGAAATGTATGGAGACATTCTGGACTTTCTTGACTGAGGAGGGTGGTGCGGCTGGTGTCTAACAGGCAGAGGCCAGGGATGCTGCTTACCCTTCTACAAAGCATAGGAGGCCCTGCACAACAAAGGGTGCTCTGGCCCAAATGGCAACTGAGGATGAGAAACTCTGCTATAGGCCCTAAATCAAAAAAACCACTGTTCTCTGATCTTAAAGCAGTAAAGAGTTTTAAAAAACGCTTCAAGGTATAATAAATGAGAACAAGTAGTTAAATTCTCATGAGATGGTAAGAGTACAAATTATAACTTATTAGATATCTTGTTTCAACATACGGAGAATCTGAAAATAAGTGGCAAAATATCTTGAAGGAGTTGCATTCTAAATAAAGGACTTCTACTAGTCCAGGGCATGAAAACGGTCATTTTCCCATTTTTCAGCATTACAGATCCCTCAGATGATTAAAACCTCTTACTTGGCAAAATTCTAAATGGGCAGAATAACCGAAGTGACATAAAAATCTTTTAAAATTCTAACACTGAGTATACCACAGTTTAGTGAGAGACCACCCAATGCAGCATAGAGTACTCACTTGGGAGGCAGGCAACCTGAGTTCTAATCCCAGCTCTGCTACTTAATTACTGTGTGCCTTGGATAACTCATCATTTCACCTCTCAAGTCCCCAGGTCCCTCATTTGCAAAATAAGGGAGTTATGCTTGATGATCACTGAGGTGCTGATCTAACACTCAGTCAGCCTATGTAGTGACTCCAATAATATATAAACACATTCACATTAACAATCCTCTGAAGATTCCTGCACAAATATTCAAGCAAGTGGAACTGCCAGGCATCATCATAAAAAGAAAGAAAAAAAATCCCCAACGGGATGCTCAATTTCGCTGGCTGCAGCTATCACACGTCTGGCAAAACAGGCAGAGTCATGCACGCATGATGTAAACTACTAAAATCCTTTTGGAAAACAATTTGGCAATGTGTATGAAAACCTAAAAGGGCCTTACCGGAACACAGCACCTATTCTGATACTTTCACTTCTCAAATCTAGTCCAAGTAAATAATCTGAAATACGGTTTTTGAAAAAAACTTTAATCACCTAAGTATTATCTGGGATGCTAAAATGAAGCAAAATTTCATACACACTCTACATGTCCCACAGTCGGGAATTGGTTGAGTAATTCATGGGACCTACACAATCATGGAACAGGTGGCCAATCAAAAGAAGATACAAAATTAGAAATATTTGGGAAGAACTTTTAAATCAAAGGGGAAACCATATGTATTGTTAAGGGGTAAGACAGTCTTTGCTCAAGTAGAAACCAGCACATAGTTAAGTAAAATACAGATATTGCAGGTGTAAGGTTCAGTGGATATTTTCCTCATTAAATTCTTCTGTATTTCCCATTTTTCCACAATAGTGTTGTGTACTAGGAGGTAGGGCACACACTAAACCACCATCAACCTTACCTGCATCATCCTACTAGGCACCCTCATTAAAAATACCTGCTAGGAGCGCGCGCGCACATACCTACACACAAAAGCCCCGGGGATAGGACTCAACGCCGCACTGTACCCCACGCCCAGCCTGACGACTCGGTGAGAGAGTCCAGCTCAGTTCCTGGGTGTCAGGCGCAAGCACACCGAAGAAGTGCAGGCCTGCATTCCCTGCAGCCCTGGAAACCGGGTCCTGGGTGCAGGGTCCGCTTTCCCGCCGGATTCCCAGGCTGATGTCGGGGTTCCCCGCGGAATTCGACAATCAGGAGCGGCCGGGAGAGCCAAGCCGGCGGGCCCAGGCCAGTGCCCGTTCGGCCTGCGCGGCCCCGGCGCCCCTAGGGGAAGGGCTCGGCAACCCGGCGGCCCACCACGATGTCCGGGCCGGTCCGGGCGCCAGGAGCGCGAGCGCGCCGCCGGGCCCCACCGCTGCAGGTTCTGGAGTGCGCGCTCCCGCGGGCACCTTCAGAGGCTGCTGCCCCCCAAGGCCTGTCCCAAGCGCGGGGACACCCGGGCAGCGAACGGCCCTTGGCTCACCTCGGGGCCGGGATCCAAAGTCCGATTCCAGGTGTCCGCCAAGACCGGCCGCAGCTGACCAAGCGGGCAAAACTGAAAGTGAAACCGCCGAGGCAGCGCTCTTATCTTTCTCAGCCAATCCCGGCTTCCCCGGCCTACGGCGGCTCGCGGGGGCCGCAAAGACCGGAGCGCGCCCGTCCTGTCTCCCGGTTTGCCCAAAGGTAAAATTGGTGCCGCGGGATCAAAATGAAAAACGCTGGTGCTCTCCTCTCTTTTAACAGAAGAAAGAGTTCCCCGCTCCAAAAAAAAAAACAATAGAAGTAATCTCTTAGCCACGATTTCTTCTAGGCAGAAATGTAAGAAATAGCTTGAAGTCAGGGGGAACTGGAATTTATTGCTAAAGTAATAACTATACGTATCCAGAAATGTCCTTGAATAATTTAATGCAAATTAATAAGACAAGCAGCTTCAAATCTTTAAATCCACCTTTGGATTTTGATTAAGTGTGTGAAAAGGAAGTAATTATTAGCAAGAGACTGTTTCCACGGCAACGTTAATTGATACAAAAGAATTAAAATCACTAAAGTAACTCTATGGTGATGGCATAAATTGCATTGCATTACAAACTGGTTCTAACTGGAAATGGTGTGCAGACATTATTTAAGTGCTGCTATGGGAGCTTGGTTTGGAATTTTGCATGAACTCTCAATATTCTTGCAATTAATGGAAAAGGAGAGAGAAAAAAAACCTTATACCAAGACATGATTCCTTTTTTCCCTTTACATATGCCCTCATCAACTTAAAACTTATACTTTAACTCTGTTTATGAAAACTGTAAGAAAAACATTATCTTTAAACCGATTCTTAACCCCATTAAGTGTTATTGAATCTAAGATGCAGAATTATTTTCTAAGACAAAAATGAGTTCTCCCTCTTGTAAGCCTCTCTTAGCTCAAGAAATGAACCTTAGATTGATGTGATGAGCAGTGAACAACTGGGTGTGATTTGGTAGAAAAAGAGAGACTTCCTTATGCCCATCTCTAAAAGCTCACTTTGGGTAAAGGCCAAGCATTGCAGATTTATTTAAAAGGCTGTATTTCAAGTTCTTGCAGTATAAAATCTAAACAAAAAATTTTAAGTAAAGTAGCACTTAAAAAAATTTAGCTACAAAGAGCAAACATACTAGGATGTAAAGCCCTGTCCCTAAAAACCTTCACAAGAGATATCAAATTGTACCACCTTCCTCACTGGTTGTTTCAATTATTCAAAAAAGAAAATTTTTTGTTTCACAGTTCTTTTCCTTCACCACAAAGCCCTGATGGAGTCATTCAGGTTGGTGTGGTAGGCAGCGGGCAATGAGGAATTCTGGGGGCCTGGTTCATCTGCAGAGACAGCTGTAGCCTTTCCAAGGGGTATGGATCTATGAGGGCCCAACTAGACAAATGCAGTGGGCACCATGAATTATTTCATGAGCCAACAAGCTTATCGAAATATGGTTGTTCCCAGAACCCCTTCAGCAGCTTACAATAAGCTTTTACCAGCTCACAGAGCAACTTTCCATATTTCACAGAATTTTTTTTCACATTTTTATTATACAAAATAAATGTGCAAGACTTTTTCTGAATACTAGTCTACCAATAGTTTTCAAAACCCTGAACATAATACATAACTTGTTAAGGAGTCAAAAATAATTTGACAAGATTTGGTTTAGCTTACATAGTTTAGTTTAGTTGTTAACAATTGATGTACCTCTATTGGCACATCTCTCTCACCCAAATTCCATAGTTTACATTAGAGTTCACTCCTGGTGGTATAAACTCTATGGGTTTTGATAAACATAATGACATGAATCTATCATTATAGTGTCTTATAGAGTATTTCCACTGACCTAAAAATCCTCTGTCCATCCCTGTCTCCCCACTAATTCTTGGCAGCTACTGATGTTTTTACTCTCTCCATGGTTTTGCCTTTTCCAGAATATAAAAAAGGTGGAATCACATAGTATATACTCTTTAAGATTGGCTTCTCTCACTTGGTAATGTGCATTTAAGGTTCTTCCATGTCTTTTCATGGCTTTGTAATTCATTTCTTTTTGGCGCTGGATAATATTCTGTTGCCTAGATGTACCACTGTTTATCTAGTCACTTACTGATGCACATCTTGGTTGCTCTCAGGTTTGAGCAATTATGAATAAAGCTTTTGTAAACATCTATGTGCAAGGTTTTTGTAAGAACACAAAATTTCAACTCACTTGGGTAAATAGTAATGAGTGCAATTGCTGAAATGTATGATGAGAGTATATTTAGTTTTATAAGAAACTATTAAACTGTCTTCCAAAGTAGCTCTATCATATTTCCAACCAGCAATGTCTGATAGTTCCTATTTCCCCACATCCTCACCAGCATTTGGTGTTCTCAGTGTTTTGGGTTTTGCTTATTCTAGTAGGTGTGTAGAAGGACTCATTGCAGCTTTTATTTGTGTTTCCTTAATGACACAGGATGTAGAGCATCACTCCATATATTTATTTGCTATCTACAAATCTTCTTTGATAAGGTGTCTTTTCTGATCTTTTGCCTATTTTTTAACCAGATCATTCATTTGTTTACTTTTGAGTTATAAGAGTTCATTGTGTATTTTGGATAAGAGTCCTTTATCAGATATGTCTTTTGCAAATATTATCTCTCAGTCTGTCATTTGTCTTCTCATTCTCTTGAAGCTATTGTTCTTAAAATAGGCAAATGCTTGCATAAAAACATGAAGGTGAACTCTTGCCATTTCATTATTTGTTCCAAACTTCTATAGTCCTATGCCTTTAAAAAACTATGTTCTTCACAGTTTTTCGTAAAAGAAGGTATCATGTCTTGCTTACATTATAAAATACCCAACAGCCCTGTGAACGTGTGGGCCACTGTATTATGTTGAGGCTAATAATGATAGATACAAACATGGAATTGGATTGGCCAAGTGTCTCCAGAGCAGATTTTACTATATAGATCAGTGTTATACTTCTAAGAACACTGCTGGTCTTGTTCCAGAAATGCATTAACTGTCCCAGACTTGGACCTTTCCTGTACCTTCAGACTGTCCAATAAAACTCTCAGGAGCAAAGACTATAGTTGTTTTTGTTGTGCCAAAACTTGCACCAGCCTGTCACATTCTAGTTTGAGGGATTTGGACCATTATCATCTGTCTTGTATTATATGATGTCAAAATTATTTGTAAAAAAACAAGAAGAAAGAAACTATATTTGTTGAATATCTTCTTTTCTTAAATCCTTTCCTTTTTTGGTATGGCCTTTCAAACACCCCAATATTGTGCAGGAGTCTCAATTCCAACTCTACCTCAAATGGGGCAATGCCTACTCCCTCATAATCATGGATATTACAATGGTCCCTTCCTTTCTTCCTTCCATTGATCTAATTCAAACCTTATCATCGTCTGGGTTATTAAAACTGCTCTCATCCTTTGGAACCCAACCCCCTTCTCTTCACTAGGTCAACTCCTAATTATATTTTAGGCTTTAGTTCAAATATAAATTTCTTAGAGAAAGTCTTTGGTAATGTCTCAGACCTCCTCTTGTAAGTGATCATAGTACACTATACTTCTTTGTGCCACTTGTAAATAAGTGCTGTAATTAAATAACTGTGTGTGTGTGTGTGTGTGTGTGTATTCCTCCTTCACTGCACTGTCTATTCTGTGAAAGGAAGGCCAATGTCTCTATTATTCAACCCTACACTGCAATATATCAGTATATCTTCCACAAAGTAATATAAGCTTGCTGACTGATGGGCAAATTTCTCAGGAAGGGCTGTATGCCTTCTATTTTAACCAACAGGCAGGATGTATTCTACATCATGTGCACTTGTTTTCAGACATAATATTTGAGATATTTAAATAAATGTTCAGACTTTATCAGCTACCATTTTGGTGTGTCTTGAAATTTCAAAAGAGATAGGCTGAGGGTTTGAACTCCTGTGAGGAAAGCCTTCCAAATGCGGTGATGTTCCGTGCTCTACCCTGAACTCTGGAAAACCTGTCTCAGTTGTAAAATTCAGTGAAATTGGTGTGATGCTGCCCTTGTATTTTAATCAAGATGAACTTGAAAGGTGAACATTATAAGTGGGAGAAATTATTTATAATTTGGTAATAAAAGTTTATGTCTAACACTCCAAATTTCATTCATCTGCTATGCGCTGGCCCTGAGATATAAAACAATTGAAGTTGCCTTTACATTTGGCCTTAGATGAAAGGTCATAAATTAGAATGATAGCATTCGTTCTCTTTCCTAGCTCACAAAATTTCCGTATTAACATCTTCACCTCAAACATAAATGGTTGCCCAGCTACAAAGAAAAGGGTTGTGTTGGTCTTTATGAATTATAGTTTGTGCTGGAAATTTCTGGTACATAAGGCTGCTGGTCTTCTTGCAATGGAGTGCATCCACTTCAGGGAAGCTAATTCTACCACAAAGAAACTAATTAAAATTGTATGGTCAGTTCAAATCAATATAGTATATAAAAATTAAAGAATATTCTAGATATCAGCAAATGATTTCTAAGGTACGCATCTCTTTTAATTTTTAAAAATGTATTTTTACATCTTTGAGGGGTTACCTGCTACCAAGCTTATTTAAAATAAATTCAGTCTTCAAAATGTTTCTTTGTAAT